TATATAGTACTTATTCATAAGTATCTTCTTTCACAATAAAACTCTGCTATGTAAAATGAGTTTGTATTCCATAAAAAGGAGGGTTGGGGTTGTTTGAATTGAATGCTAGGATGGAAGTACAGTTGGGAACGTTTCATTAAATTAAGTAGTTGCTATTATGTACCAATCATGAATGATCATCTCAGACAACCATGCATTATTATTATCATCATATATCGTAGCTGGAGTATCACTATTTGCACCCAATCCTCATTCAATTCTAACTATATGTGTACCCTTGGCTATAATCTAAGAAGTACATACTCCTTTCGTTCCACTAAGATGCATGTTCGTTCTTCAGGAACACAAATTTATTCGATCTACAACTAGAAACATAAAAGAATCTTTGCTCAAGGACGTATATGCACATAGCAGGATGCAAATATGGAAACATTAGAGTTTATTTTTTTTAACAATTTTACATTTCATGATATATAAAATCACCCATTATTATGCTACGTACAGCAGCGCGATTCGTACACTAGCTAAACACCCAAAATCTATTGACAAAAGACCCTAGCTAGCGCAGCTAATGTGTACGGAGTAGAAAAGAGAGTCGTAGACGCATCTCCCTCTAGGAAAAATCATTAAGACGAGACACCCCGAGTAATGACAGAGTTACGAGCATATCAATGATATTATCAACGTCCAGAGTTTAATTTGTGAAATAAACAAATGTTGTAAAATCAAAAGGGCAAATTTAGTTTGTCAAATAAACAAGTTTTGTAAACACGTTGCAAATTTAAACGAATTAAGAGAGAAAATCATACGGTTAGACAGTAGACACATATACATCTATCTATTTTACAAGCTAGAGATCAACGTGTACTCGAACTCCAGAAGGCATGGCATGATTTAGCAAAGTTACTGCGCTTTGCATAAAAAAACTATACTCTTCATAAATAAATCTTCTAAGGTGCGCGCTTTATTCATGATTGCTAGTAAGGAAACTAACTAAAATGGGTTGCATGCACAGCAGGTCAGCATGCAGCACCAGAGCAAAATTAATTCTAATATGTACTTGCATGCCTTGTTGAATCTTCGATTGAGAGGAAACTGGAATGGCAGCTCAGGAATGCCTTTGTATGTCCAAACAGCTACGGACTTACAGAGTACAATGAGAGCACGCTAGGGCCATTGTAATTGATGGTATGCCCATGACTAATTGAATTCAAGAGTATCAGGACTTTTTTAAATTATTATTCGATGCTATTTTGCTAAGCCTTTTGTTTATTGTAATAAGATGCGTACATATGTTCAATTCTTCAAGCCCTAAGATATATTTTTGAACATAAAATATGGGTAATTTCTTTAATCACTATGATATTGTCCTCAATTTCATGTTGATTGAGTTTGTAAATGGAATTACATAACCAATGGGCCTAAACTCAGAGATGAAGGATTTGTAGGGCAAGACTCAAAACTAGAAGCGTATAAGTGTATAACTGATGAATCATTTCACAAACTTTATTCCCAAAAATGTTGGGCATTAAAATGGGCTGGACATGACAAGGATGCAACACGGATGGAAACAAATTTGATTGATAACCTGCCTCTGTACTACTATAGTCCTATCTCATGCAATATAGCCGTAAATCTGTAATATGGAAGCTCCAAATGATAATTACTCCGTGTAATTATAATGCAAAAAAGTGAAACAAGAATGATACTCCTACAAACAATTCCTTGTGCACTGTGGAATAAATGTAAAACGAACGAACAAACAAACAAAACAACCGAAAGGAAATTAACTTTCAGGCTCAAACTCAGCCAAGACCGTTAGACCAAGAGGCAAGAGTTAATGTGCATAAATGAATTACTATTGCATTTGCTGCATAAGAATTTGATACTTTGATCAGAATAAGAAGTGTTACAAATATTAAGATTATATGTAAAACAATATAATTTAAGGAAAGATAAGAGTAGTTGATTAGAAAGCCAAATAAGTCAGTGTCAACTATATATCAAAACACCGATAATTTAAGGAAACCACCATAGCCAAATAAGTCAGTGTCAACCATGACATTGTGGAATCCCAAAGCCACGACATTCTAGGATCCGATTCCTCTTTAGTAAACTTCAAGTCACCCGAGACAGGTGCGAATACCAGAACTGTATTGGAGGAGGAATCCATGTAGTGTTGTTTATCTTGAACACACCATTCGTTCACCCCCTTGATTATATCTTTGAATTCAGACTCCTTGGGATCAAAATTGGCAATGAAAAGCAGGACTTTTTTCCCTTGAAGGTCTCTGAGATGCACATGATGACCTTGTTGGGTAACAAGGTAGTCGTTTTACTCGGAAACAACAATGTCTTCAAACTCAATTTATTAAGCCTGGTAGTCTCCTGTTGGGCAAGGGCTTCAGCAGAGTAGGGATACATATCATGGACAGTTTCCAATGTAATAGCATCAGCTCCTTTGAGGTCCAACAATGATCAACTCATCCCTCGCAAAGAAACCACAACTTCCGGAATGTAGAGTCATTCAACGACGATTTCCACCAAGATGATATCCCTCTACCCTTCAACACAGCATCAACAGAGTCCATGTAATGTTGCGGATCATCCGACAAAGAGATGTAGACCAACACAATCTCCAATTCGCGGTTCTCGGACCGACTCTCTTGATACACCCGATTCACGGTGTCTAACAACTGGCCGTCGAGGTAGAGGTATAGCCCCACAAGCTTATCAGTGAGTTTGGAAACAGAAATGGTGCCGATGGCAGCAATGTTAGAGAGGCAATCAGAGAGTATAAGGCTTAAGAGATCCTCAAGAGGCAAAGGTCTTGCATGAGACATATTGATAAGATAATTATCAAGGGTGAATATCCAGTGTTGAGTAAGGGAAAAGATTCAACTCCATGACGTATGAGAGAACTACAGCAAGAAAATCGTATTGGGATCTAAAATAAGAGAATCTCGTGAAAATTCAAAAGCAGAATCTGTATTTACCGGAGAGGGGAAGACTACTTATCTTTACTTGATCACCGTTTTTGTCAACAAGGAAATCACGGCTGCTGCTCGACAACAATGATACTATGTCCGCCTTTTCGTCACCTTCTAAATTATCATCCATCCTTAAATCCGATATCGATTCCAATTCTGATTCCGAAGATGATGATGACACTGACATTTCTTAAGATGAAGATGACTCTTTTCGAGATTCAAAAGAACCCAATTCTTTATCAAAATTGTTTACCATCTTCAATTCTGATTCCTATTGATTTCCCAAACACCACTCTCACGCTTTTCTTTAGTCGTAGAATTTTGCTTGGACAGTTTTTAAGGGACGAAACGGCTACAACACTTTTTTTTTTTTTTTGAACGGGAGGCTACAACACTCTTTATATGCATAGGGTATTCCTTCAACAACTTTCTTATACTGAATATGAAACTATCAATACAGAAATGGGCCCCAAAAACCAAAATTGTACAAATACAAACACATTATTTCGAAAATTGATTTTGGCACACTCCTATGTGAAAAGAGCATAGAAAACTGTGCTTCCACATTGAAGTGTGCCAAAATCAATTTTGGTGTGCCAAAATCATTTCCCCATTACTGCGTATCGTTTTTTTGGAAAACTGAAACAAAAAGATGTGTAACGTTTTTTTTTTGAAATTTTGTCAGAAAAAATCATATATAACAACTTTTTTGTTGAAAAAAAACTTTTAAATTTTTTTTGGCAACTGAAACCTGATTGTAAAATTTTTTTGTTGAGGAAAACCAAGAACTCCTAATTTACTTTATTAACCTCTAGTTATTTCTTCTAATTACACTTTTAACTCTCATTTAACAATTTAATATTAAATTAATATATAAATTAAAAAAAAGCAAACAAAAACCACCACCATCCTACCACCAACCAGCCACACCCCTTCCCCCTCCCTATCTGAGTCGCCGCCTATAATCCTCACTCTCGGCGACCAACCTCCAATCCACCGCCGCGTTCGCGACCTTGGCTGCTACCTGCTGAGCTCCCCTGCTTCAACCAACCCTCCGCAACAACACATCACACATTATCACAACCTACTTCCTTCGCCAAAAAGTCTCACCACACCAACTTTGATCGCAGCCGTAGCCTCACATCCACTCTATTGGGTGGAATTTTTGGGTTAGGGTTTAGGAAGGTGGTCGCGGCGAGGGTAAAGGAGAAAGGGAGGGGGTCGGTTTGACGGTGGAGGTTGGTCGACTGGGGTGGGGGGTTCTAGGCTGGGGATGGGGATGGGGGAGGAGGCTGCTGCCACAGGAAGGAGAGAAGGAGAGGGTGGCTGGCTGGTGGTGAGGGTGGTTTTCTTTTCTTTTTTTTTTTAAAAAAAAATTATAAATTAACTTAATTATTAATTAGAAGTGATAGTTATGAGTAATTAGAAAAATTAATGGGAAATTAGTGGTTAATTGAGTGATTAGAGATATCAGATTATCCTCAACAAAAAAAATTTACAATCTGGTTTCTAGTTGCCAAAATTTTTTTACAAGATTTTTCCAACAAAAAAGTTTTTATAAACGTTTTTTTCTGACAAATTTCCTTTTTTTTTTGGGAGAGGTTGAGGTTTTTGGGGGATTTAGATGTGTAGTTAGTAAATACAAGTATTTTAAACCTTTATGGGCTTTATCAAATTATACTCCCTCCGTCCCTTATTTACATGCCTACTTCTCATTTTATACGGGAATTAAGAAACTTAAAAGCCATGATTGCGAAGTACAAATATGCATGTGGGGTTAGAGAGAGAAAGAAAAGGTAGTTGGTAATTATTGAAGAGATGGAGAGAGGAAGTGTCGGAAAATAATGTCCAAAAGTACAAAAAAAAATTTAAAAAAATTAATGACAACTCATCAAAAAAAGGGAATATTGTCAAAAAGTACATTCTTAAAATAGAAATAAACATGAAATTTTGAAACCCCAAAAAGAAAAGTAGACATGTAAATAAGGGATAGATGGAGTATAACTGTAATATAAAAATGACGCACAAAATTACATTCCAAAATTTAATTACTATTGTTAAAATTTCCACGAGTATAAATGACCTTAATACCTCCTTAATGTTTAAGTAAATGGATAGAAATTTGAAAAAAGCAGACTACCAAGGAGTATGTACAAGGCAGCATATGCCCATATCAACTGTGCCCATCGCCAACTCTTTCCACAAGAAGTCATCAAGCAAGAGGCAAACCAGTAGAGAGGCGGACTAGCAGATAAAAACCGAGTTGCAACCTGCAAAGAATTAAAGCATTAAAATCAAATTTAGGACTCCAAAATGAAGTTTCTACAGTAGTCATCCTACTCATCCATATTCTACAAAAGATTCTAAACTTAATCCTTTAAAAACGACTATGAGAATAACCATCACCTGAACATGCATGACAAAGAAGGCCGTGGCAGCCATGAAGCTCAAGTGAATAATGTAAGGAATCACACTTGCCGAATAGTATCCAGATTTAACTGAGACCTGATTCTCTTTAGGAAACGCAGATCTTTCAACTGTCACGGACTTTGGTCGTCGCCTCACATTTGTAGGCTCTGTCACATAAAAAACAATGGATTCTGAAGGGGACTCGGTAAAAAAAAAAAAAAAATGCTGAAGCTAAATATGACATACTTCTTCAAGAACTAAACCCAATTCCATGAGATCAAAATAGATATAAAAGACAACAAGTAGACACTTAGTGACTGAAATACAAAAGCAGATATCATTATCACCTTCGTTTGCAGCAGAGTGATTATCATCTTCCACTGGCTCTTCCTCTCTAGAGAAGAGAAAAGAAGCTGCATTGTTTTTCTTTAATGCTGCTCTAAAACCAAGTGAAAAGAAGTTCTCTGGATCAGCTTTCAAGTAAGAAATAATTGAGCAAATTGCCAAAGATAGCACAGGAGATGCGAGCAGAAAATTTGGTAGCTGCTTAAATTGGAAATACTGCAAAAAGCCAACACCCCTGAAACAAGGAACGATTCAAGCAGTTAAGATGGGAAAGACAAACTACACACCTATGACCTTATTAAACTTCTACTATGCAATGACTATAAGGATTCAAACCATGAATCAGTCTCAGTCCTCTCAGATCACATTTTTAAAAATATGAGCACTTTTCAGAAATTTTGAAGCTTAAGGTGAATCCTTAGGCAAAACATAACATGTGTGACCAGCCAAGAAAATCTATAAAAACAGCTCTATAAGTCATGGCATCAAGCTAGTTGTTCAGTAGATCACATACTGATGATGGCCCCATAATATAATAAACAATCTGGAATACAGAAATAAATCCAAAACAATGGAACAACAAAGCATAGGTTGATTGCACTATCAGTGAAAACTGTTGGGAAAGAGAGATTGCATACCAGTAATGACTCTGGATAAAACCATATAACAAAGGAATCTTTGCTTTGCACCAAGGCCTCATTTCATCTGGATTGCGTCCATGGCAGATATTATAATAGCCATAAGCTTGAAATGCAAGGAAGGGAATGAAAACACATATACACCGCAATGCTCCTGCAAAAAGAATCTGTAGAACCAACTGAAAGCAATGAATATAAAACATTATCAGGACATTGCAAAAAACTCTCGAATCCTGCAACAATGAGACATTAGACATGAAGCAAATTAATAGTACTTACATTAGCACGCTTCTTCACATACATGGCATAATAAGACTGGTGCAGGGCCTTAAAACCGTAATATCCACCATTAAGCACTCCATTCGACCTTGCAGAACCAGAGAGCGCAAACAATAGAGCAGGAACATTGTTTACCCCAGACATCAAAAGATGCATACCACCAATTGATAGTAGAGCATACAAGCTTTCCGAATAACTACATATCAGAAAATAAAGTCAGAGAAGATAACATAATCACATAGAAGCATGACTTCTACTCAAAACTAACTAAATATGTAAGTTCTAAATGCTCCATAACATTTGAAACTTAATTAAAGGACAGAAAGCTGTACATTGATGAGTAAAATATCGAAGCTGGATTGAAGCAGAACAAGATAGATGCACACAGAGATGCATTCCGATCCTTTAAAATGACCACCGAAAGCCTAAAAGGAAACAACATGACACATGAGAAACATTACCTGCACAGATATTCCATCTCATTACAAATATGTGAAGAGTTACAAGTCAATCAAGGTGTACAAAGACAAAGAACACTTATAATTCATAATTTGTACTTGTTACTAAATCAAATTAAGTGTCTTACAAACGCGAACCTTGCAAATGGCCAGCCGATAGTATACCTTTACACAGTACTCATAAGCCAAAATGCCCTTGAAGAAGATCAATACAAATTACAATTTACGCCATATTTTGCATCATTGTGGTAATATTAAGCTAAGACTAACATTATCTATATAAGTTTAGCTAACAGTAAAGTTAAATTAATGAAGGGAGAGATACCTGTATAAAGATAGTGCAGCAAAGACAAAGGCAACATTGCTGATCACATAACCAGACAATCCCAGCACAGCTCTATACCCGATTACCGAAATCAACGGCAGGAAAACTATCTTGAAAGCCCAACGGAATACGATTCAGAAATTAAACACAATAATATAGCTTGAAAATAGCCAATCACTTCAATTAAGCATGAAATTGTCAAATTGATCAATTCTTTCATCGATTAAAAATCATCAATCACCAATTGAACTTAAAATTAGGTAATTTTCGAGCTTGAATGTATAGACATTAACGAAATTTCAAAGAAAAGAGAGAGAAATAAGAACCTGAATTAGAAAGTAGGAAAATGAGGATGGGAAAGAGAGGGAAGAAGGCGTAAGACTGCTCGTACTCGTAACCGCATTCAGCAATTCGAACGAAGAAGACTGAATCCCAAACAATGCTTTCTTCAATGGCGGAAGCAATTGAAGGGAATAAAATTGGGGGTTTTGTTGATCGGGAAGAATCAGAAAGGCAATTAGGGTTTATAGATGCAGAAGTATCATAAGGACTGAGAAGAGATCTCCATAAAATAATTAGGGTTAGGAGAAGAATCCTTGATGAAATTGCGTATTTGCAGATTGTTCTTGTGTGATTCATTGGAGCTTCAATTGCAAAAGAGATGCTACTTTTCAAAACTTCATCTTCTTTTGCATTATTCAATCAAATGATTATGGATTAAAGATTTAAGCTTTGGTAATTGGGTAAGTGAAGGTTTGGTAATGGAGCTTCAATCGGAGCTCTAATGGCTACTGGCTGAAAATGGGGAAAGAGGAGAGAGACTTTAGAGTTTAGACAGACAGTAACGACTTTACAACACACTATGCACGTGATTTTACAATTTTACCCCTTAGTAATATGCATTAGGTGTTTGGGTCGGGTAAGTGTGGGTCGGGTCAATTCGGGTAAACGGGTCGGGTTTGGGTCGGGTCAACTCGGGTCGGGTCATTTTGGGTTAATTTCATAATCTTTACGGGTCGGGTTCGGGTTGGGTCAAGCTTGAGTCGGATAACGTCGGGTCATACATCTTTTCGGGTTTGGGTCGGGTTTAGGTTGGGTTAATAACATGTCGGGTTACATTCAGGTCGGGTGAATAATAGGTCGGGTTTAATTCGGGTTTTCACGGGTTAAAACGGGTTAGGGTCATTCTTGGGTTCGAGTCATGTTCGGTTCAAGTCAAGAATTTGCGGGTTATAATCAGGTTGGGTCATTTCCAAGTCGGATCATTCTCGGGTTCAAGTCGAGTTCGGTTCAAGTCGATTATTTTCGGGTTACAATCAGGTCGGGTCATGTTCGGGTTCAAGTCGGGTTCGGTTTAAGTCGATTATTTGCGGGTTACAATCAGGTCGGGTCATGTTCGGGTTCAAGTCGGGTTCTGTTCAAGTCTATTATTTGCGGGTTATAATCAGGTCGGATCATTTCCAAGTCAGGTCATGTTTGGGTTCGAATCTCAAATGTTGGGTTAATCTGGGTATCAGGTTGATTTCAGGTCGGGTCATATCAAGTTCGGTTACATTTTTTGGGTCGGTTTGTTAACAGTTCATGTAATGACATTCACGTTGACTCATTATCAATTACTTCGCTTATTATAAGAGAAATAATTTCAGATAAGTTAAATTCTAATAAGTTTAGATAAGATAGGTTTAGTTTAGATTTTTAGAAGATAAGTTCAAACCCTATTCTAATCTATTCACATTGATTCCACTCATTTTAGGGATAATAATTTAAGTTCATATTCGAGATGACTTATTTAGATAAAATATAGTCAATTCATACAAATTCGGATAAAATAGGTTTAGTTTAGATAAGTTAAAATACAACAATTTTTTTTTTCTAAACTTATTTTATTTGAAATTATCTAAACTTGTTTATTTTTTATAAGTTCATATCCGTGTTCACGTTTTTTTTTAATGGCATTATTCATAACATTTTAAGATTAATTATGCAAATGAATAATAAAATTAGAAAAATAAAAGACCAATAAAAACCTTTTAACAGCTCTTGTTCGGGTCACCACTTTCTCGAGTACAAACAAATCAAGTCATGATTGAGTACAGGTAAATTATGCGAGTCGAATTATCATCGCATTCAATAATTATTCGAAGTTATTATTTTTTTTAACTTTTTTTTATGTGGGTCTCTGATGGGCGTTAGAACGGTCGTACATTCCACACTCAATCAAACACATTTATTAACAAACACCTTACAAACCAAGCATAATGACAAGTAAGAGTTCGGTCCACAAGGAACAGGATATGATTGCCAAAGATCTTTACACTTAAGCTAACTCGAAGTCAATTGGTGAATTGGGGTTCGTCAAGAAGACAAACAAACTATGGTTCTAAATCAATGAATTAAAGATACTAGGGAATGAGATCCACTCAACCAAGGCAAATAGGCAAACGGGGAGTAAAATAGACAAGATATAGCAAGGACTATATGTAAAATCAACCTCATGCAATTAGAAAACAACTCACACTACTAAACTTAGATTCCTCATTAGTTTAGCAATAGATGATACATAATCAAATTACAATAAGTAATGACGTACTCAATTTACACTTCCATGTCAAATTAGGCATATCATACTATCAAGCTCCTTAGTCAAGGGTAGCTAAACCTATCATGAGGAACTAACAAGCAATCTCATGTAATCAATTTAATTGCAATACAAACATCAATGCTTCTCCCACATTTGCATAGTTAACCCAAAAGGTCGAGCTTCACCCAACCCCTAGCAAGAAAACTACTCACAACTCATGTTTATCAACATGCAATCAAGAATTAGGGTTCTAAATACTTCAATAATTGGGGAAAAGTGGTTAACAATTGAAATAACTATCATCCAATAACAAATTACCAAGAACTAAGAAGATTTAAATAACATGCAAATACCAAATAAAATATGAAATTAAAAGGAAGAAGGTTGGAGAAATTACTAATTGAAGCTTCAAATGTTGAATACAAATTACCAAACTTTGAGAATAATTCTTGAATTTCACTAATACAATGATTTGATTTGATGAAAACTAAGCTAAATTAATCCTAAGGAATGTTTCAAACTAAGAGAGGTTTATGAAAACTAGGCTACTGTCCTCCTTCTCCCCCTTTTTAAACGATCTCAAAAGGACCTTAAATAGTCCGTACAAAATTGGCTGAGATCGGGAAAAGGTCCGACCGAACTCAGGGTAGGTTCGGTCGGACTTAGGGTTCGACCACACCTCCTCTTGCACTTCCTTTTCTTGCTTCCTCTCCTTCCCTTTTGCTCCTCTTGCCTTTGTCCATGGCTTCCATACTTGGCCAAGAGGCCTCCCACCGTGCATAGGACCGTCACGGAACCTGCAGAAGATACCAAAGTTCACGAGAGCATGGGGATGATAAAATAATGCATAAAGATTATCGAAATAAGCATTACTTTTCATCAACACAAAAAGAAGCCATAAGAGGATAATGAGGTGGAAAAACCTAAGAAAAATAAGAGGAAAAAGACCTAAATACTACCCCTAAGAGTGACATAAATGTCACTCATCAGTCTCCCTACATCCAAGACAAAATACTTTGATCAATATTAACATAGAGTAATTTTAGCCTTACGAAGTTTCGACATAACGAGTAGCTTAGAATATATATAGCATATATCTTTATTCAGTATCTGATCTACAATAATAAGGATGTATAAAATAACAAGTCGAGTTGATTTCAGGTCAGGTCAATAACAAGTCGGGTTGAATTTGGGACGGGTCCATAACAAGTCGGGTTGATTTCGGGTCGGGTCAGTGACAGATCGGGTCTGGTTAGTGATAGATCGGGTTGAAGTTTGGGTCGGGTTAGTAATAGGTCGGGTTAAATACGGGTCGGGTTAGTAATAGGTCGGGTTAAATACGGGTCGGGTTAGGAATAGGTCGAGTTGAATTCAGGTCGGGTTAAATTCGGGTTTTCACGGGTTAAAACGGGTTTGGGTCAATTTCGGTTTGGGTCGGGTTCGGTTCAAGTCAATATTTTACGGGTCATCTTCGGGTCGGGTCATCTCCGGGTCGGGTCATGTTCGGGTTCGGGTCTCAAATACTCGGGTTAACTCGGGTCTCGGGTTGGTTTCAGGTCGGGTCATATCGGGTTCGGGTCATCATTTTTCCGGGTTTAGACGGATAATCGGGTACGAGTTGGTATTTCGGGTCGGATCAACTTTTGACAGCTCTAGGTGTTTATCTAGCTTGAATGATCTCACATAAGATAACTACCCTCTTAAGTAGTTAACCCAAAAAAAATAAACCAACTACTCTCTATATTCATATCCCTTTAGCCCTTAATCCATCTATGAGAATTGACAAATTGACAAATTCTTTAAATGAAAAGAAATGCATAAGTCGAGGTTGTTTGGTCCAAAATTATACCAAATTAAAGATTGAGAATTTGAAAATGCAAGCTATTGAGACAATAGAAACAATTCTAAAAATATAATTTGTTCTAAAAAAAATTTGAAGGACATTGAAAACTAATTATCTTTTTCAACAAAAAATAACACAAGAATAATTAACTTTTAGTTTAATTAGATAATTATTTGTCGACACTAAAAGTTTTTAGTACCAATAGCAGAAGAGGAATAATAAAGGGAGTAATTAGTGCTCCCTCCGTCCCTTATCTACATGCCTATTTCCCATTTTTCACGGGAATTAAGGAACTTAGAGATCTTTAAAACCCATGATTGGGAAATACAAATAGCATGTGGGGTTAGAGAGTGATAGAGAGAAAGAAAAGGTAGTTGGTAATTATTGAAGAGGTAGAGAGAAAGTGTTGAAAAATGATGCCAAAAGTACAAAAAAAAATTAAAAGAAAATTGATGACAACTCATCGAAAAGAGGGAATATTGTAAAAAAAATAATACATTCTTTAAATAGAAATAGGCATGTAATTTTAAAACCTAAAAAAGAAAAGTAGACATGTAGATAAGAAACGGAGGGAGTATGATTTACTAGTAATTTAAACCTCCTATCTGTGAATCAATTCTCAATCATATCCCACAAACAGTATAAGAGACCATAAACTTGATTACTTGACTATATAGGTTGATCGATCTTTACTAATTATGAGTATTATTTTTTGATTCAAAAGAGGTTAATCAGTAACCAAAGAAAAGAAAGCAACATGAAACGAAGCAAACACTAATTATGAGTATTAGGATGTAAATTATTTATGTACTTGGTAGCATTATGCACATTATGCTCGCAACAGAACTGGAGTCGGTACGTGCTAGGAAAACAAGTTTAGAGGTTCTCTTGAGACAAGAGGAAGACCGTTGAGTGAATTATGAATGGAGAAAATAAAGAACAAAATGTCCAGTGCTTTCTTTCAGAACACAAGCAAATAGCTCAAAGAATCAACATTGTTCTTCATCCCTTCCTTCCAATTTCCAGCTCTCCCATCTGATAACTGCACCCTTTCTCCCAATTTGAAGAACAAATTAGAAGATTCAGAGCCAAACTCAAACTTTCCCAGAAATCGAATTCAAAGTCACTCGCTTTCAGGTAAATGGTAGTGTTATCTTGTTTCATTGCTTACATAGTCACTCTTTCTCTATCTTCCTGCAGCATCCCAACTTTGAACTTGGGTTTTGTTTATTTTAATTAATATCATTAATCCGTATTACATAGGAAAGCTCATACAAAAAGTTCGATTTGAGGGTTAATTGAACCCCCTCTTGGATTGTTTACGCCATTGATTAATGATTTAGAATTCGCATAAAATTGGGTTCCTTCTCCCAACTTTAAACTAGGGTTTTTGCTGAAATAGGTTATCAAT